TCAGATTTTTCGATTTTTTGATGTTTTAACTTCTCGATTTCTCAATTTTTCGATTCTTCAATTTTTCTTCGATGCGTCGATTTTTCAATTTTAAAACTATAGGTTTTTCAGTTTTCCGATTTTTCAGTTATACAGTTAAACAGATATGTATTTCTATTTTTCAATTTTTGGAATCTTTAAATTTTAGATTTTTCGTTTCGAATTCTTGATCTTCCGATTCTTCAACTTCTCGGATTTAGACTTTTTGGTTTTTTAATGTTCCAATTTTTAAATTTTAGATTTATCTATCTTTCAATTTTTCGATTTTCAATTTTTCAGTTTTTCAATTCTTCAATTTTTTGAGTTCTCTATTTTCCGATGTTTCAGTTTTACGATTTTTCACTTTTTCCATTCTTCAATTTGTTTCTAGATTTTTGTTTTTTCAATTTCTGGATTAGGTAATCGATTTTTTAGTTTTTAGTGTTTTCGACTTCTCGACTTTTAGATTTTTCAGTCTTTTAATTATTCAATTTTTCAATTTTTCAGTTTTTCGATTTTTTAATTTTTTTATTTTTCTACGTCGATGTGTCAAGTTTTCGATTTTTCAATTTACCAATTCTTCGATTTCTTAAACTATATGCACTTACCTATTGAGTAACAAGGAATCCCAAAGAATAAACCCCAATTATAGCCTCCCTGCTATCAGTTGTAATGAATTTTTCATTCGTAATCAAACCGTAATTTTTCACTTCGCAGATTTTTTAAATTTTCGATTTTCTACTTCAGTGTCAACTTTTCCATTTCTCGATTTCTCAATTTATCGATGTTTCGGTTTTAGGATCTTTCAATTTTTCGATTCTTCAATTTTTAAAACTATTGATTTTTTAATTTTCGATTTTTTAGTTCTTCGATATTTCCATTTTAGGTTTTTCAGTTTTTTAATGTTTCAGTTTTTCGATCTTTCGATAGTTCAACTTCTCGGTTTTAGATTTTTCTGTTTTTCAATTTTCCGATTTTTAAATTTAAGATTTTTTGATTTCTTGATTTTTCAATTAGGTACCTCTTTAACCTCCCGATTTTTCGATTTTGGACTATTTCGATTTCTTAATTTTTCATCTTTTCGACGTTTCGATTTCTCGATTTTGCGATCTTTTGATGTTTCGTTTCTCGATATTCTATTCCTGAACTTTTCGATTCTTAACTTTTTTGACTTTTCGATTTTTCAATTCATGAAGTTTCTAAATTTTCGATTTCTTGATCTCGATTTCTCGATTTTTCGAGTTTTCAGTTTTTCAGTTCTTCAATTTCTCGATTTTTCCATTTTTCGATGTTTTAATTTGTCAATTTTTAAAACTATTGATTTTCCGATTTCCCGATTTTTCAGTTCATGGATATTTCTGGTTGTCCCTTAAATGTTTGAATTTTAGATTTTTCAGATTTTAATGTTTCTATTTTTCGATCTTTCGAATTTTCGACTTCTCGGTTTTAGATTTTTCTGTTTTTCCATTTTCCGATTTTATAATCTTTTGATGTTTTGTTTCTCATGTTTCATTTTTCAATTTTTCACTTTTTGACGTTTCTAAATTTTCGATTTTTCAATTTCTCGATTAATCAATTTTTTACTTTTCCGACTTTTCTATTTCTCCGCTTCTCGATTTCAACTTTTCGATTTTTGACGTTTCTAAATTTTCGATTTTGCAATTTCACTATCTTTTCCACATCTCGGCTTCTCGATGTCTCGATTTTTCGGTTTTTATGGTTTCTAAATTTTAGATTTTTCAAATTCTCGATTGATTTTTTAGTTTTTAGATTTGTCGATTTCTTGACTTCTCGATTTTCAAAATTTCAATCTTTCAATTCTTCAATTTTTCGATTTCCCAATTTACCGACATTTCAGTTACAGGATTTTTCCAATTTTCAGATTTTTCGATTTTTTGATTTTTTAACTTCTCGATTTCTCAATTGTTCGATTCTTCAATTTTTCTTCGATGTGTCAATTTTTCAATTTTTTTAAGATTTTTCTATTTTTCGATTTCTCGATTTTATAATCTTTCGATGTTTTGTTTCTTGTATTTCATTTTTTAATTTTTCACTTTTTGACGTTTCTAAATTTTCGATTTTTCAATTTCTCGATTAATCAATTTTCTACTTTTTCGAATTTTCTATTTCTCCGCTTCTCGATTTCTAGATTTTTCAATTTTTTGATTTTTGACGTTTCTAAATTTTCGATTTTGCAATTTCCCTATTAATCAATTTTTTACTTTTTCAACTTTTCGATTTCTCAATTTACCGGCATTTCAGTTACGGGATTTTTCAATTTTTCGATTTTTCCACTTTTCGATTTTTGAGTTTTTAAATTGTAATTTTTCCAATTTTCAGATTTTTCGATTTTTTGATGTTTTAGCTTCTCGATTTCTCAATTTTTCGATTCTTCAATTTTTCTTCGATGTGTCAATTTTTCAATTTTAAAACTATAGGTTTTTCGGTTTTCCGATTTTTCAGTTATACAGCTATACAGATATGTATTTCTATTTTTCAATTTTTCGATCTATCGAATTTCCGACTTCTCGGTTTAAGATTTTTCTGTTTATCAATTTTCCGATCTTTATATTTAAGATTTTTCAATTTTTCGACGTTTCGATTTCTCGATTTTGTGATCTTTCGATATTTCGTTTCTCGATATTTCAGTGATTCAATTTTACGGTGTACCGATTTTTTCTATTCCTGAACTTTTCGATTCTTAAGTTTTTTGACTTTTCGATTTTTCAATTCTTGAAGTTTCTAAATTTTCGATTTCTTGGTCTCCTTTTCTCTATTTTTCGCGTTTTCAGTTTTTCAGTTCTTCAGTTTTTCGATTTTTCAGTTTTCCGATTTTTAAAATTTTCGATTTTTGTACTTCGATATGTCAACTTTTCCATTTCTCGATTTTTCAATTTTTCGATTTCTCAATTTACTGATGTTTCAGTTTTGGGATTTTTTAATTTTTCAATTCTTGAATTTTTCTTCGATTTTTCGATTTTTTCATGTTTTAATTTTTCAATTTTTAGAACTATTGATTTTCCGATTTCCCGATTTTTCAGTTCATGGATATTTCTATTTGTCACATAAATATTCCAATTTTTCGATCTTTCGAATTTTCGACTTCTCGGTTTTAGATTTTTCTGTTTTTCAATTTTCCAATTTTTATATTTAAGATTTTTCGATTTTTCGATTTCTCGATTTTATAATCTTTTGATGTTTTGTTTCTCATGTTTCATTTTGCAATTTTTCATTTTTTGACGTTTCTAAATTTTCGATTTTTCAATTTCTCGATTAATCAATTTTCTACTTTTTCGACTTTTCTATTTCTCCTCTTCTCGATTTCTAGATTTTTCAATTTTTCGATTTTTGACGTTTCTATATTTTCGATTTTGCAATTTCCTTATTAATCAAGTTTTTACTTTTCCAACGTTTCCACATCTCGGCTTCTCGATGTCTCAATTTTTCGGTTTTTATTGCTTCTAAATTTTAGATTTTTCAAATTCTCGATTGATTTTTTAGTTTTTAGATTTTTCGATTTCTTGACTTCTCGATTGTTAAATTTTTCAGTCTTTCAATTCTTCAATTTTTCGATTTCTCAATTTACCGACATTTCAGTTACGGGATTTTTCAATATTTCGATTTTTCCACTTTTCGATTTTTGAGTTTTTAAATTTTAATTTTTCCAATTTTCAGATTTTTCGATTTTTTGATGTTTTAACTTCTCGATTTCTCAATTTTTCGATTCTTCAATTTTTCTTCGATGTGTCGATATTTCAATTTTAAAACTATAGGTTTTAATTTTTCGAATCTTTAAATTTTAAATTTTTCGTTTCGAATTCTTGATCTTCCGATTCTTCAACTTCTCGGATTTAGACTTTTTGGTTTTTTAATGTCCCAATTTTTAAATTTTAGATTCATCTATTTTTCAATTTTTCGATTTTCAATTTTTCAGTTTTTCAGTTCTTCAATTCTATTTTCCGATGTGGCAGTTTTACGATTTTTCAGTTTTTCCATTCTTCAATTTTTCCGTTTCTAAATTTTTGGATTTTTAAATTTCCTTCAATTTTTAACGTTTCTACATTTTTGATTTTTCAATTTCTGGATTAATCGATTTTTTAGCTTTTAGTGTTTTCGATTTCTCGACTTCTCGACTTTTAGATTTTTCAGTCATTCAATTTTTCAAGTTTCCAGTTTTTCGATTTTTTAAAATTTTTTATTTTTCTACGTCGATGTGTCAAGTTTTCGATTTTTCGATTTACCAATTCTTCGATTTCTTAATTCATATAACTATATATATATTAAGAAAAAAAAAAGCCAAATATTAAGCATGACACACCCGACACCCTGATCTCAATTGTGATGAATTTTTCATAGGATAATCAGACCAGGGGGCGGAGCATAGTTGCAAAATCCATATTTCCCTACACAAATTTGACATTTTGAACAAGTTTAAAGTTTCTTGTTGCAAAAAGAAGACTACGGATACTAAGAAAAAGGGGACAAAATATAAGCCCCGCCCACCCGCCCATGTCAATTGTGGTGAATTTTTTTTTTATTCGTCGTGAGTCGAGAGGCGGAGCTTAATTTCAAAATCCTCATTTCCTACAAGAAATTACCACGTGAAACATGTTTGCAAACGTGATGTTCAAAGAAAACATGCATATATTAACGAAAAAAAACAAAGATTAAGCACGATCTTGATTACAAATGTGACAAATTTTTCATTCGTAGTCAGACCAGGGGGCGGAGCGTAATTGCAAAATCCATATTTTCATACACAAATTTACCATTTTGTGCATTAAGTTCCATATTGCGAAAAGAAAAAGTACAAAATATACGTGGGTCTAGTCCATGCCAGTAGCCAGTCAACAAACTGTCTAATCTAATCAGGCTCTGATCTCATCTGTTTATGTCCACACTAAATTGTTGATTTAGCGCTTAAAACCGTACCATTTGAAAAATTTCGCCATCGCGCATCTCAAATAAACATCTACTTCCAGATCATCGCCGTGGGTCGTCCGACGTCACGCCATTGTCTCTTAATCCAGCGAGCCAATTTCGTCCCACCATTGCATTCCCAAGACCATCGTCTTCGAGAGCATACAAATCCGGTTCGTCCGCGGCCCACTCGCGTACCCTCTCCGGAGCCGGTCAGTGTGCCTCCGCTGTGTCAAGTGCGCGCTAAAATTCCGCTCCATCGCCTCGCCGGAAAAGCAATGTTTTTGCCGATGTCGCGGAAATGCTATCCGTGATTTCTCGCAGTTTCCACGCTTAAAATGCCCCGACAACATCCAGCACGACCCAGTGATAAGCGACCTCTGCGCGCTGATAAGCACTCCACTTTGACCCGGCGCAGATAAGCGAAGAAATGGACTTTTAGGAAATGGACTAACAATCGGCCGGTGGTGTCGCGACAAAACGCCGTAAAAATGTTGACTATGTACATAGTGTTTGCGTGGCTTATGGGGATTTGCTACGGTTTTGTGTTGATCTCGTCGGCGGCGGGCCAAAACGACGTCAATTTGTTCCAAGTGGGTGAAGTTGTGGTGTACCAGTTGCATTCGACGGTGCTGCTGGACGAAAACAGCGACGATGGGAAGAACGTGGGGTTCTTCATCTCGGGGAACGTGCTGGTGCACTCGGTGTGGGGGAGCGGCGACGACAGGATACTCAAACTGGAGGTAATTCACAAAATACTTTGTTAACTTTAATGGCTTAGGAGGCGTTGAACAATAAATGGATGAAGAAGGCCTACTCTATCTTTCTTTTTAGACTGTATCTTATCAGACTTTTTCGTGCACAAAGTTCGAGGCGTAAAACAATGTTTTTAAATTTTTGTGTATTAGGTAAATAAGAATTCATTTTACGGATTTATCTGTTTGCATAATTAGTCATGTTGCTGACATTTAAACTGACTACCAATTTTATAAGTGTGTAATTTCAAAAATTATATTTATACAGGTTGTTACAGCTTTGATTAATTTTTGTTTTTAAATAATAATGAACGCATACTTACCAATGATCAGAAGCAAAATTATGACAAATTATTTCTGTAAGCCAAATATTTTCGATTTTCGTTTGCTTTAAAATGTTTTGGAATTCTGAAAAAACAAACATGCTGTTAATATTGGGAAAGTGTGAGAAAAATGTTGATGCTGCCGTTCGTCTCTACGCCAGGCAATATACCAATAGAAGAACTCCCTCAAATCAAGCGCTTAGAAAACTTGACAGATACTTTTAAAAGTATCTAGATACAGATTGTTTTCGATTTTTTCGAAATGTATCTAGATACAGATACAAGAAAACAGATACTTTTTGAAGCTTTGGCGAATAAAATAACTGAAAACATGTTTATGTATTTTTTTATGTATTGTTTAATGAATTTTTTAAATTTAACAACATTTCGAACGTATTGTCACCTAAATTATTTCTTCTTGGTGTCAGAATTTGGTTTCCGCTACTAAACACCCGTTCTACAGGTGCAGAAGAAGGGATTGTGGTATTAAATTTAAAAAATAAATATTTTACTGTAGCATAATTATTCAAGACTGAAAAATCTTTTCTTTTTTCCTGCAAATAGGCCATCGCTTCGCTGTTTGATGTGTCGCAAATTGTGCAATATTTATTACGTACGCTTAAAAAGAATTTTGTTTTTGTTTTTATTCCCATACTACAGTGTCCAAATTGTGTTTGAGTATATCTAATAATTATCTCCAGCATTAAAATTAATATTTCAAAAGAATACGGGAAATGATTATTCTGTGCTGAAGGTCTGTTGTCGGCAACCTGTCATAAATTATTATTCTTCAATATCGGCTTACGATGTTTTTATGACCATGTCCGGTAATCGTCTATCCCGGTGCGACAGGTATATACATTTTAGGAAGAATAGCTGGTTCCGTTCAAAGGCAAAATTAGTACAATTTCCTAGAAAGGTATTTAAACCCCTTATAGGATCAAAGGCTGCCTGGCAGGCCGGAATCATCAGAGTGCAACTTTAAATTTTCAGATTTTTGTTGAAACTCATTTGATTTTAATCTCGTTTCACGATTTCTGAGAATATATCACGATAAATTATTATTTTACCGAGGGTTGTAAAAATATTAATTTTATTGCCCAAGATAATTACACTTAAGGGGACTCGCTAGACGAGGTATAACATTTTTTTGTTTTTTTGTATGAAAAAATTATATTAATATAGATGTATCATACATCAAACTGCAGCTTTTTTTCATATTCTAGAGCGCAGAGACCAGTTCAATCAATTAAAAAAATATGGCTGAGAAATATTGTAAAAAAGCACCATTGTATGTTTTCTTTTCAAGTTTTTTCAGTCATAACCATCATTGAATCACTTGAAAATTAGCACATGGATAAAACATCACTTTTTACAGGTCGCAGAGTCATCAAATGTTTGTTAGTGGTACAATTTGTTTAAATAATAATGTGTTTATTAAAATCAAAATATACCACAAATTAATGCAAAATACGTCGAATAATTTTAACAGGAATATCAGAGGAAAATTAATGATCTATTGGTTAGCAGAGTTTTTAACAAAAACTAACAATTATTGAAAAAAATGGGTATCAATTCGACAGAATTTGAGCAGTTAGTTCAATACTTTGCCGATAGGAGCGCCACTTAAATTTACGGAAACGAATTTCGAGGTAAAACCCTTATCGCCTGCTCTACCATGGGCTAATTGTTAGAGTTCTCGGCTGATTTTTCTAATTTATGGCAAGGAACTCAGTTTTATAACAAGCCGCAGGACCGGCCGTAGTAATCTATTGTTAAGGAAATTAACTTTTACGCAATGAGGTACTATCATAAAACCGAATTAAAACTGGGGAACTACAATATTTTTACTCCACTCAGGATTCTGAATTCAATACACATGATTACTAAAAATTCATTGTAATATATTGTTAATATATATTTTGCTTTGTTAATTAATAAAACTAATAAACATATTTATAATAATAATAAAAAATATATAAAATACAGCTTTTGTTTAACACGTATAAGTAGCTAAGTGTATCTACTATTTATCCCAAAAAGGAGGTGTTTTAAAAAAGCCCTACGCCCAGTAACTTCTCCCTTCATTGTTTACTCGAAAAAAGTGCTCGTATATGTTTTCATTTGCCGAGAGATCATTTTCAAAATATATTTATAAAAAAAATATGCAAGTCTTGGTGATAAAAAATCTACTCCTAATAAATTATTAAAGTGCTTAAAAAATAGAAACAAATTTTATTTATTTAAAAAAAATCTCTCGCAAAGATAGGTTCCTCTTTCTTCTTGAATCAATTATTTCGGGCAATAATGCGCCAAAGTAAAATCTGCCAAGTTTATCTGCCATCTTGTTACATATTTCTTCGTCTTTATAAATTTTTTCTATATTTATTCCTTTGGGTGTCCACACAACAAAATAAATTTGTGAAATACCCGCAACAAGCATTTGTCCCTGGACTTGAAAGTAGTAATCATGATTTTTTTTTAGTTTCAATTCTCTGTCAATGTACAAAATTTGATTATTTTTTTTCTAACCGCTTCTTCGGGAGACAAATCTTGCGATTTTGAAGGGCATTTATTTCGACTAATGCCCTCCTATCCTCTAGAACCCTGTCTGGACTATCAGCCAAGTAAGGAAATTGTTTTGAAATAAACAAGCCACACCGTTCAGTTTTTATATTTTTTATTTATTTCAAAACATTTGACAGTTTTTTCCTCACTTTGCTGTCCATAGAATGTATGACTATTACCTCTAAATGTACTGTACAACAGAGACTCCACAGTTTTAGCTATTGCTGTAGTCGGTCTAAGTTTGTAAATACGTCCAAAATTTGAAGCCGTGACCCTAATTTCTTTTTCCCAAATGTGCCTGTTGCCTAGTGTCTATTTGAATTTGGTCTAAATTCAAAGATAATTTTCTCAAAAAAACCTCTTTTGCTGTCACAAATGTTTCTACATTCATGACAGGATTTTTTAAAAAATATTTAACCATAATCGTAGTCGGGACCAGCATACCTACGTACATTTTTTTGCGACATATTTTTTTTACGAATACTTTGTCTAAAACGAGCTTGTTTCATAGACGAACAATATTTTTTTATTATTGAACCAGGACCGTTTTAATCACAATATACTTACTTATCCGCTCTAAAAAATTGATGACGTCACCTCAAAATTTTGCTGAATAAATCCTATCTAAAATGTACAAATAGTCTCTTCTTGTAATTTATCGTCCCATTCATTTTTTTTTTGGATTCGGATATATAGGGTGACTCAAAAAACTTAATGAATGCGCACACTTATTTTATTAATTTAATCAGGAACTACAAAACCGAATGCTTTGAAATCTTGGAAATGTTTTAAATTTATCATAGACATGGTAAATTTTTTATCAAAATATATTTGCTCATCCCTCCTAAAAAATGGATGACGCCACCCCAAAATTTTGATGAATAAATCCTATCTAAATTGTATAAAATATGATGAGTCTCTTCTTGTGATTTATCATTCCATTCATGTTTTTTGGATTTGCATATACAGGATGACCCCAAAAATTAATGAATGCGTAAATTTATTTTATTGATTTAATCAGGAACTACAGAACCCAATGCTTTGAAATCTTGCAGATATTTTAAGGTTATAAAGAGCATAATAAATTTTTAGTCAAAATATATTTGCTTATCCCCTCCAAAAAATTGATGACGTCAGCTCAAAAGTTTGCCGTATAATCCTATTTAAAATGTACAAAATATGATGAGTCTCTTCTTGTAACTTATCATTCCATTTATATTTTTTGGATTCGGATATACAGGGTGACTCAAAAAATTTAATGAATGCGCAAATTTATTTTATTGATTTAATCAGGAACTACAAAACCGAATGCTTTGAAATCTAATGTGAAAAAAAAAACATAATAGGCATGCAGTCGTCACGTTTCCGATAGCGAGGGAAGTACTGTTTAAACTCTTTAGACCAACTTTTTTTATTTTCCCATTTCTCCATTTCTCAATTTTCCAATGTTTCAGTTTGGGATTTTTTTCACTGTTTCGATTCTTTAATTTTCCTTCCATTTTTAGGTTTTTCAATATTTCAGTTTTGGAATTTTGCAATATTTCGTTTCTTCAATTTTTCAAATTTTTGATATTGTGTTTTCTCTCGGTTTTTAAATTTTTCGATATTTTAATTTTTCAGTTTTTAAAGTTTTAGGTTTTTAGATTTCTCACTATCTCGACTTTTCGATTTTTCAGTTCCATGACTTTTCAATTTGTCGAATTTTTAAATTTTAGATTTTTTGTTTTCTTTGATGTTTTGAGTTCTCGATCATTCGATTTTCTGAGTTTTCAGGCTTAGATTTTTTTTTGTTGTTCAATTCTTGGATTTTTAAAATTTCTGTTTTTTAAATTTTCCTATTTATCAACTTACTGGGATTTCAATGTTTTGATTTTTTGATTGTTCAATTTCTCGATTTTTTGAATTTTTAGTTTTTGATACAATTTTTTTTTCAAAAATTTTCAATTTTTCAATTTATTAATTTTACGATACTTCAGTTTTGCTCGATTTGGATTTCTCAATTTTTCGACATATTACTATTGAGATTTTTCAATTTATGGATTCTTCGATTTCTCGATTCTTCATATTTTCGGTTTCTCGAATTTCTTCATTTTTTTA